CTACCGGTCGAGAACGGAACACGAGGAGCCTGCTCTTGCACGGGAGCGGGATCAGGGCGACGAACGGTCGCAATTGCATGTGAGATAGGGGAGAGAGGAGGGATCAGGACACCACGATGTCGAAGGTCGGCTTGCCCAGAGAACAGGCCCTCCCTGACGGGAGCGGGATCACGGCGACTGACGGCCCCAATCGCCTGCGAGATAAGGGGGGAGGAGGGATCAGGACGCCACGATGTCGAAGGTCGGCGCGTCCAGAGAGCAGGCCCCCCCTGACTTCTTCCTGCCCCCCCTCCCCCTGCGACTCGCGACTATCTTCGCGCTCTTCCCGGTGGAGGCGACCCGTTCCGCAATCCTCCTCCTGCGAGTCCAACGTCGCACCTGCTTCGTTCCCTTCTGGCCCAACGGGCCCTTCCCCAGCTTCTCCTTGGGAGTCCGTTGACACGACCGCAGCGTTCCCTTCTGGCCTAACGGGCCCTGCTTCTCTTGGAGAGGTTTGCTGGCTGCCAGGGGCGCCCGCGAGGGCGTTAGGACTCGGACACTGGGATGCAAGGGTACCGGCGGGATCAGGGCGACCATCGGCCGCATCTCCAGAGAGATCAGAGAACGAAACAGGAAGTGCCTGTTCTTGCGCGGCAGCGGGATCAGGGCGACGAGCGGTCGCAATTGCCTGTGAGATAGGGGAGAGAGGAGGGATCAGGACACCACGATGTCGGAGGTCGGCTTGTCCAGAGAACAGGCCCTCCCTGACGGGAGCGGGATCAGGGCGACTAACGGTCGCAATTGCCTGCGAGATAAGGGGGGGAGGGATCAGGACACCACGATGTCGAAGGTCGGCTTGTCCAGAGAACAGGTCCCCCCTGACTTCTTCCTGCCCCTCCTCCTCCTGCGACTCGCGACTATCTTCGCGCTCTTCCCGGTGGAGGCGACCCGTTTCGCAATCTTCTCCCTGCGAATCCAACGTCGCACCCGCTTCGTTCCCTTCTGGCCCAACGGGCCCTTCCCCAGCTTCTCCTTGGGAGTCCGTTGACACGACCGTAGCGTTCCCTTCTGGCCTAACGGGCCCTGCTTCTCTTTGAGAAGTCTGCTGGCCGCCAGAGGTGCCCACGAGGGCGCCAGGACCTTGCCCGGGGGAGACAAGGGTGCCTTGACGGCCAAAGGACACAAGGATGCAGGGGTGCAATGGGGACTCTTCCTGACTGTCAGAATCGCGAGGAACGTGCCCGTTCCCTTCTGGCCTACAGTGCCCAGCTTCTCGTTGTGAGCCCGATGACACCACCTCTGCACTCCCTTCTGTCCCACTGGGCCCTGCCCCTCTTTGGGAGGTTTGCTGGCCGCCAGGGGTGCCCGCGAGGGCGTCAGGACTCGGACACGGGGATGCAGGGGTGCCTTGCTCGCTGCGGTTGCCGATGCCTGTCGCCAGGGGACGTCCTCCTGCTGTCACCAGTGGACTGCTCCAGTCGGGCTGGCAGTCGGGCTGGCCCTGGGGCTGGCGGTCGGGTTGGCCGCGGGGCTTTCCGTAGGGCTAGCAGCCGGGCTGGCCGCGTGGCCGGCCGCGGGGCTGGCAGTAGGGCTGGCCACGGGGCTGGCCGTCGGGCTGGCCGTGGGGCTGGCTGCGGGGCTGCCCGGGCTTGCTGGGGGGCTGGCCGCGGGGCTGGCCGTCGGGCGGGCTGTCGGGCCGGCCGCGGGGCGGGCCGTAGGGCGGGCCGCGAGGTCGGCCGTGGGGCAGGCAGTTGAGGTGGCCACGGGGCGGGCCAACCACCTCGGCGGCGCCGGCCACCGCGCCAGCAGCCGGCGCCGCCGCCGGCGGGAAGCCGGCAGCGGCGGCGGCAGCGGCGGCAGCGACAGCCGCCGCGACAGCGGCCGCCAAGCCGGCCGCGGCGCCGCCGGCCGCGGGGCGGCGGCGGCGGCGGGGTCGTTTACCGCGCCCTCCCGCCGCCGCCGCACCCGGCGGGGAGCGGGCAGCAGCGGCGGCAGCGGCAGTAGCAGCGGCCGCCGCGGAGGCAGCCGCGACGCCGGCCGCGGCGCCGCCGGCCGCCGCCGCCGGGGGGGAGCCGGGGGCGCGGCGGCAGCGGGCGGCGGCGGCGGCGGCGGGGTCGCGGCGCAGCGGCGGCAGGGGGGGGCGGGCGGCGGCGGCCTAGCCGCCCGCGCCCCCGCCCCCCGCCAACCGCCGCGGGGGCAGTGGGGAGGTGTCGGGGGACGGCCGGCGGGGGCCGCAGGGCTGGCAGCCAGTTGGCCGAGGGCAGTCCGCCAGCGCAGAGGCCGCGAGCTCGGCCGCCCGGCGCCAGCGAAGCCGCGGCCGGCCGAGGCCGGCAGCAGCCGCGGCAACGGCGGCGGCGGCCGCCGCGGCGCAGGCAGCAGCCGGGGCGGCGCGGCCGCGCGAGGGGCGGCGGCCGCGCCAGCGGCCGCCGCCGACGCGCCCGCGGCGCCTCGAGCGCCAGGGCTCCGCCGGGCGCCGGCGGGTAGGGCCGGGCAGGGGCAGGGGCGCACCAGCAGGGGGGCAGCAGACAGCACCAGCAGCAGGGGCAGCAGCACCAGCAGCAGGGCAAAGCAGGGCAGCCCGCGCAGGGGCGCCCCGAGGCCCCCGCGGGGGGGGGCCGGAACCAGCCCCCCGGCGCCAGCTCCAGGGGGAAGGCAGCGGCGGCGGCGGCGGGGGCTCGCCGCTGGCCGCCGCCGCCGCCGCCGCCGCCGCCGCCGCCTCCCGCGCGCTGGCCTCCAGGGTGGAGGGCGGCGGGCGGCGCGCGGCAGACCCGTCGCGCGCGGCGGCGGCCAGGCGCTGCCGCCGCCGCATGGCGGCGCCAGAGGGGCGCGAGGCCATCGCGACGGGGCCGGCCCGGCGCGAACCTGTCCAGGGGCGGGCTCGAGCCGAGACGGCTTGAGCCAGATGGAATGAGCTAGAGGGGCTACGGTCCCGAACGACAGACAGGCCGCATACCAGAGGCGATGAGGGAGGAGGTACGCGCTCCTCCTCCTTATCTTCTTCCTCCTCCTCCTCCTCCTCCTCCTCCTCCTCCTCCTCCTCCTCCTCCTCCTCCTCCTCCGCCTCCTCCGGCCTCCTCCTCTCCTCCTCCTCCTCCGCCTCCTCCTCCTCCTCCTCCTCCTCCTCCTCCTCCTCCTCCTCCTCCTCCTCCTCCTCCTCCTACTCCTCCTTCCCTCCTCCTCCTCCTCCTTCCTCCTCCTCCTCCTCCTCCTCCTCCTCCTCTCCTCCTCCTCCTCCTCCTCCTCCTCCGCCTTCCTTCCTCCCTCCTCTTCGCCTCCTCCTCCCTCCCCCTTCGCCCTCCGCCTCATCATCAGCACACTCACATCACCATCACCATCACCATCACCATCACCACCAGCATCAGCAGCATCATCATCCCATCAGCACCATCACCATCACCATCACCATCACCATCATCATCATCAGCAGCAGCATCATCGCCATCATCATCAGCAGCATCATCATCATCACCATCATCATCATCATCATCATCATCAGCATCATCATCATCATCATCATCATCAGCATCATCATCATCATCATCATCATCATCATCATCATCATCATCATCATCATCATCATCATCATCAGCATCATCATCATCATCATAGTCATCATCATCATCATAATCATCAGCATCATCATCATCATCATCATCATCAACAACAACCTCAACATCATCATCGTCATCATCATCATCATCATCACCGTCATCATCATCATCATCATCATCATCATCAACAACAACAACAACAACAACAACAGTATCAGCATCATCAGCAGCATAATCGTAACGATAATGATGACTACAAAAAGTCTAATCATAAAAATGGTGTCAGTGGTGATACACATAAGACTACGACTACCAATAATACCAATAACACTAACAAGCATAATCCTCATCATCAGCAGCAGCATCAGCATCAGCATCATCATAATCATCAGCATCATCAGCATCATCCTCATCAACATCGCATCCTCATCAGCATGAACATCATCATCATCACCATCATCGTCCTCATCATCAGCATCACCATCATCAGCATCAGAATCATCATCCTAATCAGCATCAGCATCATCCTCAGCAGCATCATCAGCATCATCATCAGCATGATCATCCTCATCCTCACCAGCATCATCATCATCATCATCATCATCATCATCAGCATCAGCATCAGCAGCAGCACCATCCTCATCATCATCATCATCATCATCATCATCATCATCATCATCATCATCATCATCATCAGTATCATCATTATTATCATCCTGCTCCTCCTCCCCCTCATCCTTCTCCTCTTACTACTCCTCCTCCTCCTCCTCTCTCCTCTTTGCCCTCCGCCTCATCATCATTAACAGCATCAGCCATCATCATCATCATCATCATCATCATCATCATCATCATCATCATCATCATCATCATACTCACCTTCCCCTTCACCATCATCAGCATCAGCATCAGCATCAGCATCATCATCATCAACATCACCATCAGCAGCAGCATCATCATCAGCAGCATCAGCATCATCATCATCAACAGCATCATCATCATCATCATCATCATCATCATCATCATCATCATCATCATCATCATCATCATCATCATCATCATCATCTTCATCATCATCA